GTCACACCAGGACTATATAGATATTATTTTGTATTTTATGTATTCAATACTACTTTTGAAAAATTAACATGTTGTTGAATATAAATATAGTTTGTTAATGTTTATCGTACTGTATACCACAATTTATTCCTTTTACTCTTAACTAAAAATTTGAGGTATTTCCAGTTTGCCGTGAGTAGAGCTGCTATAAATATTCTTATATAGTAACCCTGACACTTAAAAAAAATGCATATCCTAAATTTTATTAGATCATATCTAAGTCTTTTCCAAAGTGGCAGTCCCAGTTTGTATTTCTACCAACCATGTATGAGGATTGTAGTTTCTTGTTAACTGATCTGTAGGAGGTCTTTATAGGCAACATTATGGAAATTAACCCTTTAAAGTATGAATGTTGTTGTTAAGTGCTGTGAAGTTGGTTTAGGTTCATATCAGTTTAGGGCTGTACAGGGCTTCTGAGAAGCAGTTGGTGGATTTGAACCACAAATCTTGCAGTTAGCAGCCCAGTGCTTATCTTAGAGTGCCCGAATAGCAAACATACTTTTCTCGGTATTTTATAATCCTTTTTAAAAGGTATTGATGTTTGCCTTCCTGGAGGACTGAAAATGTAAATGGAATAAAGGGAAGGATTCCAATTTTGAAGAATTTAAGTAAAAAACAAGTGTTCTGAGTTAATAGTACTGCTCCTAATTTGCTATTATATATAGTCTCTAGTATGAATAATCAAACCAACAATATTCATGGATACTCTGGAATATAAGATGCCAAATATAATCATGATAATCAACAATTGATTGTTTAGTCTGTTAAGTCTATTATATGAATTAACTCATTTAATCCTTACAACAATCTTAGGAGACAAGTACTATTTTTTGCTCCATTTTATAGATATATGAGAGCAGGAACTAGGTTGAAGGTGTTTTCTAAATATGATTAAAGCAGGATTTAAAAACTCAGAAAGACCTGAAATTGTAAAGATATTTTCTTTTTATAATTTGTTTTCCTTTAAAGTAATGAATGTTACCTTTTCCTGGGTTTCTTTTCCCCATTATCTTGGACCTACAATATACCTCATAATTTTCTCTTTTTTCTTTGAAGGAAAACAAGGTCTAAGTATCTTTCCTCCAACCGTCCCTCATGATCCTTTGTCCTCGCTGTCACTGGGATGTCAGACTTCCATAGGCAGGGCTGGGAATCTGAGAGGACCTAGAACCTGTGGGGGATGGGGAGAGAGACAGGAATAATGGATGAAGGTGAGGGCTGCTTGGTATGGGTGTGTGAAGGGTGGGGAGGTGATCTTTTAAGGGTAGGGTTTCTTAGCCTGTGGTGTATAGATTAGGGAGCCTATGAATTTGAACAGGAGGAAAAAGGCTCATTTACACTAAAGAAATTTAGCATTTCCTTCAAATACGAGTGTAGACAACAAATCACAATAGTATTATTAGCAATACCTGTAATCTTGTCACTAATCTAACTCACAGATCTTTTCATACTATATGGCAGTTGTTTTGTTGCCGTTGTTAGGTGCTGCGGAGTTGGTTCTGACTCATAGTGACCTTATGCACAACAGAAGGAAACACTGCCCGATCCTGCGCCAACCCCACAATTTTTGCTATGCTTAAGCCCATTGTTACTACCACTGTGCTAATCCAGCTGGTTGGGGGGTCTTCCTCTTTTTCACTGACCCTCCACTTTACCAAGCATGGGACTGGTCCGCCCTGATAATATGTCGGAAGTATGAGAGATGAAGTCTGGCCATCTTGACTTCTAAGGAGCATTCTTGTTGTACTTCTTCCAACACAGATTTGTTGGTTCTTCTGGCAGTCCATACTTTTAACATTCTCCTCCAATATCATAACTCAAATGTTTTAGATATATTGAAATAATATTTACATTTGTTTGTTCCCTCAAAATTATGGTGGTCATTAGCTTTGCCGTAAGATTTTATTATTTAATATATTAATAGAAGTTCATCTAAATGTGGTTGTTAAGTGCCTTTTGTTGTTAAGTGCTGTCGAGTCGGTTCCGACCCATAGCGACCCTGAACAGGGTTTCCGAGGCTCTAAATCTTTACGGGAGCAGAAAGCCTTCTCTTTGTCCCGTGGAGCAGCTGGGAGTTTCAAACTCTGCTGAACTTGCAGTTCGCAGCCTGATTCGTAACCACTATGCTACCAGAGCCTTTTAGTTGGTTCTAACTAATAGCGAGCCTCTATATGATTTGAACCGCCAACCTTCTGATCAGCAGTCCAGTGCTTATACTATGGACTCCCATATACTACTACGTCACACTTTGAAAATATTTTATTTTTTTCCCAACATATTTGGTGTCTTCTGAATTTTTTTTTTTTTTTTCCCAAACTTTTTGCTTTGGGTGAAAGTTTACATAGCAAATTGGTTTTCCATTCAACAATTCATACACATTTTGTTTACCATTTCCCTTTGCCCTTCTTACCTATCCCTTCCTGCTTTCTGAGCTCTATCCGTGGGCAAATGTTACTCCTTTGAGTGTTTTGAATTTTTATGTATGTTTTTTATGCACTTGAAAACGTTATTCAGAGAAGGGGTCTACATGCTTCACCAGATTGCCAAAGAGGCCCATGGGATAAAAAAGTTAAGAACCTCTGCTTTATGAGTATTTTCTTGGTTTTCATTCTTATTGTCACATGGTCACCAGTGCCTAAAGAAAAATGAAGATCACTGAAGAGCCTCAAGAACTGGAAGGCTCTCACAGATTTATTTTCCTGTTTTTCTGGAGACTCTTTCTTTTCACGACTCTAATATTTTGTTTCTCTTACCTCACTGAACCCTTTGTTTCTTTTTCATCCACCAGATTAACTGTGGGTATCTTTTTACACTTCTTGGGTGAGTTTATTATTTAGACCACCATATTTAGACAGAGAACGCTCAATCTTCTGTAGTTCAGATTGCTCACCCTTTTTTAAATTCCTTAACTCTAATTGCTTCTGGAACACCTCCACCTGTTTTTACAATCCATATCTAGAACTGAATATATCAAAAAGGAAGATTCCTCTTCAAATATGCATGTTGTCCCAAATTTCCTGGACAACCATCTTGTCTATTCCCCTGATTTTAAGACCTTATAATTATTTAAACATTTAAAACAAGTTTTAGGAATGGTTAATCTCTGTGAATGATTCAAAAATCAAAACGTATAAAGGGTATGCCGCCAAATGTGAAGTCGTTCTCCCACCTGGTTCCAAGCTCCCTGCACTCAGTCCCCCTCCTGGAAGGTAACCACTGCTTTTTGGATTCCTTCTTGTTGTAGTAGTGGCTGTACCTCAAGCCCTTCTCACTCTGAGTGTGTGTCCTTTCCTCTCCAGGCCCTCATAACCTTATGTCTAGGTGACCATATACATGGATATAGTATTTATATGTGTGTGTGTATATCTATACATATCTATACATATACATATATATATAAAATCTCTCCCTGCGGCTTTCCGGCCTCGAGTTTTCACCACGTCGCTTCCTGGATGAAAAACCTCCAGGGGTGGGGGGGAAGGGGCTGGGGTGATGGAGAAGAGGACCGAAAGGGGACTTAGGTAGGGGGTCAGACTGTTGGGAAGCTCGTCCAGGATTCCATTAGCCTATTTCTTCCACCTCAGGCTCCCTTCCAGTACTCTAGTCCAAACGCCACCCGTTTCCAAGAGCCGAGGCAGAGACAGAGACAGAGAGATACACAGAGACAGAGACGCCGAGGCACCAGCATCCCTCTCCCCCTTCCGTCCAGCCCCGCCGCCCTGACGGACATCCGTCATCAACCAATGGCTCTCACGATATGTCCCGGAAGGGCCAATGAGAGACGGAGGAGGGAGGAAGATTCCCCGCCCTCACTTCTAGGCTTGGTTGAGCCGTGCAGGTAGGTCCGGGGCTGGGGGAGTCGCCGTTGGCACTGGTGCCCCGGGGGGTGGGGGCACAAGTGGGTAGGGGTGATGGTGGGGAAGGGGAAGCCGCCCCGAGGGGAAGAGCCCGAGGGGGCGGCCCGGCCGGGAGGCGGGGAGCAGAGGGGCCCGAGGAGCGGGCGCCGCCGAGGGCCCTGGAAGCGGCTGGGCTGGGGGAGTGGGGACGCGTGTGTGGGGCACAGAGACCCCCGGCCTGCACCCACCCGCAATACTGGGCCGCGGGTCGCCGGCCAAGTGGCACAGGGGCCTGACTGTCCGAGGGGTGGGCCAGAGCCGGGACCAGGGGCGCCGAGCAGAACCCGGGGCGCCAGGCCGAGCCGAGGTGGGACGGACCGACGCGGAGAGGAAGGGAAGCTGCATCCCTTGGGCCGCCCCTTCAGAAGCGGGCTAGTGCCACGGTCGCCGTCGCCCCCCACCCTGAGCCCACTCCTTCTTGTGCCCCCACCCCAACAATGGGAATGGAGCAGGAGTCGCCGCCCCACTCGGGAGTGGGGGTTAGGTTTGGGACAAGGGTCCAAGGAGGGGGGAGGGGTGGGAACTCGGCTCTCCCTCTTCTAACCCCCCAGGCTTCAGAGGTAGGAATCTTGAAGGGGCATATTAAACTTGGGTCCAGAAGTCAAACTACACCCCCACCTAAAAAAAAAAAAAATCCTATAAAGGATAGGAAAGTGATGCCAAGTCTCCAAAGCCAGAGTGACAAACTCAAATCAAGAACGAATCCTTTCCAGAGGTTTTAATTTTATTTTTATTTAAAAATGAGGATCCTTTGATTTTTCAAAATCTATTTTTGAATAGGTGGGTGCTGTCATTTTTGTCCCTACTCTGGCAGGCCTCCATTTTCAACGAAGTGGTAACTGGTTAAGCTAGAGTCACATTTAGGCCTAGGACTTAAACAAGGATCCTGCAAGAGGTCATTTAGTCCATCCTCCTGTCTCCAGGAAAACTAACTTCCCTCCCATCCTCACAGTTGAGTTGTTTTGGTCGGTTTTTAAAGATCTCTAGGGAAGGAAGGGTCCATTATTTAATTGTAGTACTTTAGTCAAGACTAGATTTTATTTTTCAGTAGAATCAGCTTTAAAACGTAAGCCTAATGAATGAAACTTAGGACAATCAGAACTATCAAGAGTGGTTTTAATTTGCTTAATAAAATTGTGGTGAGGGTCAAAAACAAAAAACAAAAAATAATGCCATCACAGAAATCACCTTTCAATAGTGTTTATGAAGTGTTCTAGATAATAATTTTTTCTCACAGGGATTTTGATATTCTAATTCTTGATAACAACAACCACCAAATATGAAAATGTTCTATTAATTCTTCTTATCTAGAATATTTTATATGAGGAGACTTCAAGAAGTTCTTGGAGAAATTCCAATATTTTTTCATTTGATTGTTCCATGAACTTTTGAAACTCCCCTCGTTTATACTTCTTGTTGTAAAGTGCTCTTGAGCTGCTTCCAGCTCACAGTGACCCTGTATAGGATTTTTGAGGAGCAGTTGGTGGGTTTGAACTTAAAATTAGTAGCCCGGCGCTCATCCTATAGCACCAGATAGATACATAAATGCATATATAGACATTTGCCTTTTTTTCAAAATGGGTCTGACTTTTGTACATTTTTTTAGCATGGTGAGGAAAATAGTACTTCAGATCTCTACCCTGGTATCTTTAACTATTTGTTTCCTCTTGATTATTATTATTTTTAGTCTAAAAGAAAGTTATCTCTTTCAGATACCTTCTTGAAACAAAACATTTTCCTACCTACTCATACTTGGTGACTCCGAGGGAATTTCTGAGATTCCCTTCTTGCTCATTTCTGAGTATTGTTGGAACTATTCCTGACACTATGAATGCTATTTGGATGCCTCTTAAGGTAAGACATGATTTTTTTCATTACTGCTTTATTTAATTTTTCTTTAGAATTGACAATATTCAGATTCTTGATTTTTGCTATTTAACTCCTTACCTGGCACTCCTCTCCCCTCAAAAATTACTATTGTTTTTGCTTCCTAGTAGCTGATTGGTCAATTCTCACTTGGTTTTTGTTATTCTTGAATATTGGTGTTGAAATGTTAACCAAGTTCTCAAATTAATTTCCATTATAATGATTTGTTCAGTTTTTTTTTTTTTACTTAAATTATAACATCCCACATAACTGGAGAATTCTGTTCCAATCCCAGTAGGATGGATTGGCAACTCAGACATCAAGGTCCACTTTCAAACAGGTACTTGAGAGTCATAGGTACTAGGGTGTGCCTCACTCTTGCAAATCAGTAGCTGATTCATGTGTTACAAAAGATGTGTCATTAACCATTTGTTTATTCTGAAACTTCATACAGTATATTGGAACATTCTAAGACTTGCCGGTCTACATGAACAGCTCTGTTGAAGAGCAACCCTTCTGCTCCCTAGTTTTCTGCATGAGATTTTCTCAACAGGTAGCAGAGGTAGCATTTTGGGTCAGGTTTCATCTCATGGGATAAATGTCATTTGGATAGTGTGGACATAATGATGTGTAGATGAAAAAGCTCTTGTTGGTGTGGTGGTTCTCTAGTCTTTCTTGCCCCTTGTGCAAAGATCGTCAAAGTACTCCCAATTTGGTCTAAGCAGAGGGCAAAGCTTAAGACTTTGGGAGAAGGACTGAGAAATAATGATAAGGAGTGATGGAAACCCTCTACCAGATTGCCTTTTCTAGAGTTTGGTAATTCAGATTATGTGCAAAGAACGCCCAAACTTGCAGGTAGTACCCATTTCACCTAGCTTTGATAGCTTGATCATCAGAACTCGACTAGAGGAAGATAAAAAACAATTTTTGATAAATGAGTATAAATTGCTGCAGTTTGATGAACTTGACCTATACTTATGGATGTAGGAGCTCAAAGTACCAACTGAGAGGGAAGGAGTCTTCACATCAAGTATCAATTCTATCCTCTCTATATACAAGGCAGATAGGGACAGGCAACTGCAACTTAAACATTGGCTACCTAAAATGAGGGGGTGATAAAGGCACGAAGTGACTGGCTTACAAGTTTTCAAGAGGAAGTTTAGTTTAAGAGTGTGGGGGTGGGGGAAGACTATCAGAAAGCAACAATAAAGATCATTAAAAAAAAGTAAAAAAGATATGTGCAGTAATCCCTGTGGAATCCCAGGTTGATGGACTAGGTAAACTAGAGGAGAAGGTAGTCTCTGTAACCTAAGTAGTTGGTCTTGGTGGGAAATTTTTAGGTAACATAGACTTGAATTCTCATCTTCATGTATGTTCCAGCTGCTATTATTGGCTAATGAGTGCTTATATTAGTATGAAGGAAGCCAGAGTGACAGTTTTTTGAGCCATTCTCCCTGTAGAGTTGGAAGAGTTGCATGGGGAGTCCAGCCAGTGAGCCTGAACCGTAGGAATTGAAGGATATTATTATCCAAGGATATTTCTCTTGGCTCTCATGTGCTTAGTACCTGGTGGCATCTGTAAGGAAAGGGGGTTACCAGTGGATACTTTAAAAACAACAACAACAACCAAATTCACTTCCGAAGTCTACTTAATTCTGACTCCTAGAGAACCCTGTAGGCTAGAGTAGAACCGCCTCACAGGGCTTCCAAGGCTGTAAATCTTTATGGAAGCAGACTGCCACATGTTTCTTCTGTGGACCAGCTGGTGGATTTGAACAGCCAGCCTTTTGGTTAGCAGCAGTCTTTAAACATTGTGCCACCATGACTCATAACTAGTTCCCTAGAAACTCAAAAACATTGGGATCAATATATTGAATTCATGTTAGTCACTTTGACCTTAGTTAATGCAGAGGCCTGCCTTTTTAAGGTACATATGATGTTTGAGTCCTGGTGTGGCACTGTGACTACAAGTTGGTTTGAACCACAAGGTCGGCATTTCGAGCTTACCAGCCACTCCTCGGAAACCCTATACAGGGTTGTTATGGGTCGGAACCGACTTGATAGCACTTAACAAGACACAATGATGTTTGAGATTGTACATCTAAACCTATCTACATTTGGAGTGTTCTAACATAGTTTCCCAGTACCCTGAAGCTGTACGAAAGACTTGTGGCATGGCAGGAATACAAAAGGTAAATCAGTGTTTTTCTGCTGTGTGAATTACTACCTGTTAACTATGTAAGAAGGTAGTTCTGTGGCTGTCTTAATTTTATGTTCTTTACCAATGGTTTGACCAGTGGAAGACATCTGAGTGTAAACAAAGCTTTTATTTGCTAATATTTTCCAACTACTTTTATTACTTAAAAAGCCTAAAAACATTGTAATGATTGATCTGTACAGGGGGAAAAAACGTTTGTTTTTTGTTGGGGGAGGATAATATTGAATTTGGAGAAAAAGTGGATTTTATTCTTTATTTTTGTTGTGAATGCTGTTAAAACATTTTGGAGGAGCTATTTTTAAGTGAAAAGAAATATGATAGGTTAATAAAAATGTATACTTAGGAGTCAAAAATGCTCAGTGTCTGTAGTTGTTCAGCTTTGTTTTGATTTCAGGATATTTAACTAACTTTGTGTTTTTCTAAGGCATTAGTTAAACGTCATTGTTCTTAAGTGCTATTGAGTTGATTCCTAGTCATAGCGATTCTGTACATAGGATTTCCGAGGAGCAGCTGATGGGTTTGAACTGCTGACCTTGCGGTTCACAGTTCAGCGCTGATCCTACAGCATCACACCAGAAGTCCAGTTAAATGTTAAACTAGAGTTACGTGCTTATTTCCATACTCATAGAAAGTTGTGCCTATACTCGCTTTCATCACAAATCAAAGTTATCAAAGGAAACATCAGAATCAAAGGAAAAAAACTCCAAACCCAAAAATTCTCAGTTAAGGCACTCTTGTAAATGAGAAGTTCCCATGGAAATGATTCCTTGTTTTTTGTCTGTATAGCATAGATCTGCATATTTGTAGAGCCTGCATATTGGCAGTCATGACCAAGCACTACCTATGATGCTTCCAGATCCAGTTTTCAGGTGTTAGGGTATGGATGAGACTGGGAGAGGAGTGGGAGAAGAAGGATCAGTGAAAATGGGGAGAAGTAGAGAAAGAGGTGTGTGGTCTTTGGTGTGTGATGTGGTCCATCCTCAGGTTGCTCTTAGGGGCTGCTGAACTATAATGAAAATAAGTCAAAAGTATGTTTCCACCAGCAAGAGGACAGAATAGAAAGGTGTTTTGTATTCAGTTGGATGACAATAAATGAAGAAGCTGGCATGGTTATTCCCAGACACTTGGCTTCAAACTGTCATTTTTGGGGTAGACAACACTGGCCACCCCCAAAACAGCAAGACCTTGAGGATATTCCCCTCCTATTTGGACTGATTTGGTCGGCCTCTACTTCTTTTCCCCTTTTGGTGGCTCCCATTGACTTTTAGGGCAAAGTTTAAACTATTTAATATAGAGGATCTTTTCTGCTTTATTTTTAAAACCTATCTTTGTCCAGTGGCCTGTTTGGACCTTCGTTTGAAAGTCTTCTCTCTAAAATCAGGTGTTATGACTTTAAAGAGTTATTATTTTTTCAGTGAAAAGCTTTCTAAAGGTTATTGCATGATTCCCTGCCTCTTTAAAGAAAATACCTTGCTTAGAAATTTGACCTTTTAATAATAATTCAAAATTCATTATATCCATCAGTCACTATACTCTGTTGACTATAATGTGCCTTTGGAGCCCTGTTGGACTATGCCTTATGTGGTTTAAAGCCCATATAGGAGCTCTGGTAGCGTAGTGGTTATGAACCGGGCTGCAAACCTTAAGGTCAGCAGTTCGAAACTGCTAGCCGCTTTGTGGGAGAAAGATGAGGCTTCCTACTCCCGTCAAGATTTACAGCCTTGGAAACCCTGTACAGGGTCGCTATGTGTCGGAATCAACTCGACGGCACTTAACAACAACAACAGGGTTGCTGTGAGTCGAATCAACTCAGTGGCAGTATACAAATATATTGTATTAATGGATTAGTATGTACCTATGGTTATGAATCGGGTTGCTCATCTCACAGTCAGCAGTTCGAAACTACCAGCTGTTTGTGGAAGAAAGATGAGGCTTTCTGCTACTATAAAGATTTATAGCCTCAGAAATCCTGTACAGGGTCGCTGTGAGTTGGAACTGACTCCACAGCACATAACAACAATAACGTCATATACTTTCAGTGTTTTGCCTGTATCTTTGCCTGTTACTCTTTATTTTCAGGATCTGCTGCCTTCGTACCAGGCTATTACTGTCCTTGGGCCTATTTCTAACAGCTCTCCCTTCTAGCTTAATACTTTGTTTCTGTGCTAGGCTAGGATAGCAGCATATACAGGCTAGATACACAAAGGAGCTGTGGTGGCACAGTGGTTAAAGCACTAGGCTGTTAACTGAAAGGTTTTGGACCCACCAGCCACTCTGCAAGAAAAAGATGTGGCATTCTGCTTCCATAAAGATAGAAGCTTGTATAAAGTCTTTGCCAGAGCAAACAGACCTTTAGTGTTGTCTGGAGGGCCTTGTACAGTGCAAAATGAAGTGTCTTGGTTTGGGTGCATTTTGTGGTGAGGAAGGGTTTGTTGCTGTCATGAGACTTTTACTGTCTTCAGGTAGTGCTGTAGATAAACACGTGTTCTGAAGTTGCTTTGTCAGCTGTCATCAGAGGCTAGTCCCAAATTCCTTCTCCTGTTTTCCTGCCCTGAAGTGAAAGCATTGATTATGTTGGATAATTGGCTGTGGGAGGAGGGCCATTTGATGAGCTAGAGAGAGAGTGCAGACCAGGCCCAGTTTAGTAGCAGTGTGGTGGTAGTGGATGGAGATGGAGTGGGCAAGGGGTCCAGTAGCAGTCAGGAGGGACCAGCTCTGGGCATTGTTGGGAGTAACCCAACGTTATTCAGATATTGAAGAAATTAAAAAAA